TTGAACACTCCCACCCCAGCTATTTCTGGATCTACAGAGTGGCTGATACTTCCTTTCCACTTCTCCAGAGGGCTCTGATGCTGGATTGGGAGTGTCATATGATTTCTTGTTATAGTGCTACGCTTTTAAAATATAACCTCATCTCAAAGTGTTGTGGTCTCTTTTTTTCTTGGAGGGAAAATTCATATAGAATACATCCCCCAATTTAAAGGATAGAATCTGATAAGTTTAAAACCAGTCATGAAATCTCTACCACAATCCCATGGTGTAGAACATTTCAGTCACCTTAAATATTTGGTTACATTTAATGTCACATCTTTCCATTTTATTAGGATGAAATTTATTAAAACATTCTCCATATAACATGGAAGAACAGAGAGTTGGAATCCTAGCAATGTGACTCAAAGCAATAACAAATAAATGCTCTTAAAACAGATGTTTAGCAGTTTGTTGTTTAAGATATGAACCAAAATTTTCTTAGAGTAAAAAATGCATCAGATATATGTGAGAAATCACGGAAAGCAAAAATTCAAAAGTGGTTAAAAAATCCCAAGAATATTCTAGATCCCAGGAATATTCCAGAGCAAATCATTAAATAGTTTGTTTATGTGCAATTTTGGTAGAAAATATTGCTGCACAGAGGCCAGTAGGATTTTCCTAAGTAGCCATGCCCAACTAACTTCATATTTTGAGGTGAGTGAACTAGTAGGTCACAGAACTCTCTTAGGTCAAATCTGTCTTGGCTTAACAAGATATCTGCATAGCTTTATGTGACTTACACATGTGATTCCAATATTTGTGAATTCATTCTGTTTTTTTTTTTTTTTTCAAATTGTTTTATTAAAGTAACCCTGGTTTATAACACTATATAGGTCTCAGAAGTACAACGTTATAAATCAACATCTGGATATACAATGTATGTTCACCACAAAGTCCATCCTTTACTATACAATTGACTTTTTTTTTTTTTTTTTCAAAAGATTTATTTATTTATTTTATACAAGAACCGGGGTACAGGGCAGATGCATGGGAGGGTGAGAGGATTCACCAGAGACAGAGCAGGGAACAGAACAGGCAGACTGACAAAATACACTGCTGAGGGGAGCAGCGGGCGAGATAGGAGAGGTCTGCTCGCCATGTGGGACCCTCGCTGGCCGGCTGTGATCAAACCAGTGCTGCAGAGGCTGTGGACAGCTTCACAGCGCGCTCAACCACTTGCGCCACCAGGGGAGGCCCTATACAATTGACTTCTTTTACTCAATTTACCCTCTCTTCTTTCCCTCTTCCCTTCCAGTAACCACTATTTTATTTTAAATTATTTTTTATTTTTGAGGCAGCAATGGTTTATAAACACTATATATGATTTAGAGGAATAAGTTCACACCTCCTCAGATGTATGTCACCACCCCATACCCACCACCAAAGCACCCTTATCTCTTTACCATAGAACTGCGGACCCCTCTCCCATTTGTTCTCAACACCCTGACTCTCTCTGGTAGCTTACAGTCGTATCTAGGGTTTGTTTTCTTGAGTTCTGTGAATTCCTTTGTTTAGTTTCTCTGTATTCCATGTGTGAATGAAATCCAGTATTTTGTCTGTTTGCTGATTTATTTCACTTAGCATCATCCCATCCAGTTCCATCCATGTTGTCAAAATGTCAAGATTTCACCCTTTTTATAGCTCTGTAATATTCCAACATGTATATATACCATATCTTCTTTTTTTTTTTTTAAGATTTTTATTTATTTACACAAGAACCGGGGTACAGGCCAGATTCACAGGAGGGTGAGTGGATTCACCAGAGACAGAGTGGGGAACAGAACAGGCAGACTGAATGAAAATACACTGCTGAGGGGAGCAGCGGGCGAGACAGGAGAGGTCTGCGCACTATGTGGGACCCTCGCCGGCTGGCCGGGATCGAACCAGCACTGCAGAGGCTACACAGCTTCACAGTGCGGCGCTCAATCGCCTGCGCCACCAGGGGAGGCCCTATACCATATCTTCTTAATCCACTCATCTGTCATTGGCATTTAAGCTCGCAATTCCACTCCTTGGTATTTTATCCAAAGAATGAAAAAACACTAATTTAAAGAGAAATGTGCATTTCTGTGTTCATCGAAGCACTGTTTACAGTAGGCAAATTTGCTTATTCTGCACTAAAAATCTCCTAGGTGCTGTGTGTGTTATTGGATATATATAGATAAGTAGGTTAGGCCATGGCTGTGAATTACACCTCTGGTCAGTGGTGAGCGGTGTAGACATTTACATGAGATCCAGATGAAATGAAAAAAATGAATCACTCCCACCCCTCTTTGTTAGCACAGGGATACCAGCTTATGTTTCTCTTCCAGGAAACCACAATTATATGTCCAAATATGTAATTAGACAATTTAGGGCATAATCATGCTCAAAATAAATGTTTAAATAAGTCCTTGAGTCCCCCTTCGCATCCTTTTTCATGGTTCCCTGCCATGTCTGGACCCTCTTAATCTCTTCTAGAATCTCTCATAGCTGCTTAGACAATTGATTGTTTCTTTCAAAGAATCTAATAAGGTGATGTACTTGTCTAAATTTTAATCCCATTAGTCCTAGATTTGATTATTGCCTGAAGCATTCTTAGAATTTTACCTACGAAATTTGCTTCTTTGTTTTCTGTTTCAGTTTTCAGTCTTTCTCGGGAAGCTCTGTGTCTTGGTAGGGACGGAAAAGAAAGTCTGGTTACAGGCCAAGGTTATCAGACGCACACTACACATGCTTTGTCTGGGGTGCGATGTTATGTCTCTGAACGTGGGAACAAGGGGATTGTTTTCACCACTGAGGGAGGACCTCATTTGGCTGTTACTAAGTGTGGGGAAGAAGATAGGTGAGCTCCCTGCTAAAATCTTCCCCAGCAACATTTTTATCCCTCTTGAAAAAGAGCAAGAGGTGATAGGACTTTGTGAAGAAATGCTTTCTCTCTTGCCAAGGGCTGCAGGCCAGCTACAAAGGGATTCAACTCAATAGACAATGTTAAGAGGCAACCTTGTGCAAGAACCCAGAGGTCCCAAGGGCTGCTAGCTAAGGGACAGACAAGCAGCTTTTTCCTTAGAAGTTTCCTTTTGTTAATAAGTACCCAGTTCTCTGGGTTTGGGGCCTTTGGTAAATTATTATGCAGATGTTAGTACTTTACTTACCCTCCTGCTAGACATGGTTCCTGCACAGTCACACTCTTTCCTGATTAGTTTATGGCCTGGGGTGACTTCCCTTCTCTCCTGGCCAGTCCCAGGAGAATCAGCTGGACTGGGCAAAGAGCCACTCCAGAACACCACAGATGATGCTGAGACCGCAAGTGCCCTATCGCTGTGCAATTCTGTGCCACACAAAGACCATCTCTGGCCTGTCTGGTGCACTTCTAGAAGCTTCTACCTACTGTTCAGTGGCCCTAAAACCATACAGAGTCAACTATGAAAGAAAACCAAAGCCTGCATCTTCAACATAAATATCACTTATCTTTTAAGATAGGAGAAATCATGCCCAGTTATGACCACCCCACTACCTTGTGCTCTGAAATAGTACAAGCCGAGCTCAGTTACCTGTATCTCAAAACTACCGGATTGGTCAGTAAATGCTTTCAGTTCTGCGTCCCTCTATCAGAATAGAAAATAAGGGACTCACCCTCTTGCACCCTGATTTCAGCTAAGTCAGTATAAAACTGAATACACTTCCTTACAATCCTGTCTTAATCTAATTCTCCTTTATTAGCTACTCAGTTTGACCTTCACCCAAGTGTTACATTTTCCATTCTTTCTCCCAGTGTTTGTTTTACAAATTCCATGAGCACTACCCTTTTTTATGATCTCCAGCCAGTCTCTGAAGCCCATCACCCTCTCCATTGACCATTCTGTTCTCATCTATCTGCTCCTGGGAACTCCCGGCAGAGCAGAATAAAATGCTCTAAGACACAGAGCTCAAGGGCACCCTCCCTGGCTGGGGCAGGGAAGGCATTTGAGGGGACGTGTCAGTGCCCTAAGCTGGGCTCCCACAGGAGTACAGGTGTTGGGGGGTGGTGGGTGACAGACACACAGCTGTGTGACATGCCAAGAGCTTCCCAATAGAAAAATATTGCTGTAATTGCACTAATGTGGAATCAGTTGTGGTTCTGTATTGTTTTGGGGATGTGTTTTCCTACACCAAGAAGTGAGTGGCTCCCTTTGGGGACTGGAAATTTTTTCTTTTTAATAAATAGGCTTTATTTTCAATGCTCTGTCTGTTGTAACCAAACGATTCAGAAATAATCTATGTCATCTCCCACATCATTTTAATTGTGCTTTTTCTTAAGGAGGGTTCAAGAAGCAGCCAAATGTACTGAAACAAAAACATGAGTTCATCATTCAAAAAAAGTCTTTTCATTTCTGATTGTCAGAATTCCCCTCATTAGTGAAAGAGAAGCTTATTCTTTTAAGAGGAACCAGATACAAAAAAAAAAAAAAGTGAATTGTCTCAGGGTGTGAATGCATAAATCAAAACCAGCCACAGAGTATTTAAAGGAAATGAGCCTTTGACTTCGTTCAGATTATGTCTTATGATAAAGGTGAGGGATGGAGGGATGGGAGAAGTGAAGCAGGATGCCCCAAGTCCCATGGTGCTGACATGGGTCCCCCCCCATCCCCTCTCCCTCACTTCCCACCTGAACGTCACAGAAAGTGCACCCTAGCAAGCAAAGGCTCTTTCATAACCATGTTTTACAGTCATCTCAACTAAAACGATCCCAGGGAGCTATTTAGGCTTTGACTTACGTAAAGGGTTTGAACTGTTAGAGTTACTCAGATTCTAATGAGCAGTTCTTTATTTGGTAGGGCTTTTTCATTAAGCATTTTAAAGAGGGTGTGACTAATAAGTTGCAGAATTTGGATATCATCAACAAATAGTGTTAGCCACTTAAATAAATCTTTACCCTTTAAAATGCAAGGTCAGTGTGTGTTGGTTTATAGTCTTGACAAGACTTGTTTTCTTTGCTTTAGGATACTTTTGACTTCTGTGACGCTGCTGTCTATTTATTCAATAAACCTTTTGCTGATCTGTTCGAAGGAAACAGGTAAGCTGATCGTGTCTGTTGTGTTTTTTTTGAAGAGTTTTTAAAATTTATGCATATGAGAGCTGGGGTGTAGGCCAGAGGTGTGGGGGGTGAGAAGGCTCACCAGAGACAGAGTGGGGAGCAGAACAGGCGGATCTATTGAAATCCACTGCTGAGGGGAACAGCGGGTGAAACAGGAGAGGTCTGCTGCACCATGTGGGTCAGCTCCCTGGTCGGGGATCAAACTCAGTCATTAGCAGTGATAGCACTGAGAGTTGACCACTAGGCTACCAGAAAGGTCCTGGGTGGATGGTTTTCCTGGTGATATTGTAAATGAATGGTGCATTAATTCAGCCACTTGACTGTTACTGAAACAGAGCAACTTCACCTATTGCTACTGTAAGACAGTACTGGTATTTACCTGGAAAAATGGAGACCCAACTTCTAGAATACATTGTCCTGAACAGTGAACACATAGCATGATAATTTAAAGTGAGCCCTCAATTATACTAGTTTTTCTAGTTTAAGACCATTTCCTCTAAAGGCTTTGCTTTTTACTGAGGTCTTTATAAATTCAGAACAGTGATCCCATGTTTTTAGATTATTGTCTCCATGGTTATACAAGTAAAACGAGCTTTCATTTCTCCTTTGTGCATATTCCAAAAAGAAAATGTTACTCCTGGGGCGATGTGGGAGTGACTGCACTGTGAAAAGACTTCAAGTTGTCTGGGCAGTGTAAAACCTGAAGTGTTTATTTTCTGTTCCTGGGACACTGGGTAATGTTGGCGATTCTTTGACTTCTACTACTACTACTGGCCAACTACTATTGTACACAGATGACTCCATTTAGCTGGGACACTTTGTAATAAATCGGGCCTCCAACCATTGTCTCATTTAAACTCCAGTCTTATGAGAGAATCAACAAAGGTTTGATTATGGCCTGACCCATATGTTTTCTGTGAACCTTTTGTGTCTGTTGCTTTCTTTCATGATTTTTTAAAATTTTTGCATAGAAGAACTGGGGTACAGGCCAGAGGTGCAGGAGTTGAGAGGATTCTCCAGAGACAGAATGGGGACCAGAAGAGGCGGATCTACTGAAATCCACTGCTGAGGGGAGCAGTGGGCTAGTCAGGAGAGGTCTGCCGTGTCATGTGGGTCAGCTCCCTGGCCCGGGATCTAACTCAGGTGGCAGTGGTGACAGCCTGAGACTTAACCCTTAGGCCTCCAGGGTGGTCCCTGCTTTCTTTTATGAGCTGCATATCTTTGAACTAAACTTTACAATGATCTTGGATCTGTTATAACTATTACATTCTCCTACACGTGTTATATTGCAGACACACGCAGCACTGATGGGCTAGTACTAGGATAATTCTTTGTGAGCCTAGTCAGTTCAGTTAATTAATTCAAAAGGAACCTCTTCACCTGAATCATCAGAAATTTTTTGAAATCGAATCTGTATTTTAATGAGACTAAGATGAGAGTGGGGATTTCCCCCCAGCCAAGTAGGAAGACTATTTAAAATTGTGAAAAATAAACTTTATGACCTAAGAGGGTAATTGTAATGGTTTTGCAGGCAACCTGAAAAAAGGAGAAATAGTGGTATAAAGTCTGACATTTTAAAATGTTAAGAAGGTGTTTTACAATGACCATTGCAAAGCCAACAGGCTGGTCTTGTGATTTTGAGAAAACCACATGATATCATGGGAATAGCCTGTCTTTAACTTTTGAAACTGTTATGTCTTGTGTTCTCAATAATGGTTTTTAAATAGGCTGCATGGTTTACGAAAAGCTGGGAGAGCAGGTCTTTGGCACCACAGGGAAGCTTGTCATCTTCGGAGCCACCTCTCTACAGAACACTGGAGGTAACGAGAAATGCTTTTCTATATGTAACTTCAAAGTATGTGATTATCTAATCCAGGTTGTTATTGTCATTGCTAAAAACACTTGGAAAGTAAAACAGTCACTTATTTTAAACAAAATGTTTTCCTAGAGCTTCTAAAGCTGTCTTGGTGTCTTATTGAAGGTTAATCTAAGAAGAGGCCAGTAATCTTTTATACGGCTTGTAATTTGACCCTGAGTGTCTGCTTTCTAAATATGTTCTCATATTCTCTTAGCAATGCTGAGCTACCTCTTCATAGTGAAAAATGAGCTACCTTCTGCCATAAAGTTCCTAATGGGAAAGGAAGAGGCATTTTCGTAAGTCAGAGACCAGTTTTTGTAAGATAACTAAAATAGTTTTACTGACATGTACGCTAATGAAAGTTTTTGTTTTGTGATAATTGCAGACACTTAGTCTTCCCTGGGCTGGTTTGTTTTTCCTATGGTTTGTTGTTGCATAAATAAATTTCTTAGGGGTTGTATAAATGACAGAGGCAGGAGAGCCATCAGAATAGGAGTATTTAAAGGTAAATCCATCCATTCTGCTGCAATTGTTCAACACTGCATTTTCCCCAGAGCCTGCAATTTGTGTCTGGTTTCTGTGACATAGAACAGATATGGAGTATTTTTACCATGGAAGTGGAAAATGCAAAAAAAAAAAAAAAGAATGAAGACCCTAGTCTCTTTCTTAAAGAAGGAACATAGCATTTTGGGAGCCCATCTTACATGCGCTAACCTCATGAAAGACGTAGCGAGCCCTGGAAAATGTTGCAGCTGTTTTTAGCACAGACTTTGTGTTTTGACTCCCCCTTGTTTAACAGTTCTCATCTGTCTTAGTTTCTCTGTTTTCTTTCAAAGGAGACTGGTACAAGCCAGAGTTCTTAGTGTTCTATTCTCAAGATTCAAGGTCAAATACTAAAGATTAGGGAGAAGGCAATACCTATTTATAATTGCTTGTTTCTCCTTGACACAAGGCCTAGCCAACCAAAAAGGAACTTTTTCCTTAAATAATGGATAGGACAAGTTGTAATCTGACAAAGCATTCAGCTTTGAAAACACTTAAATGATTCAAAGAAAGGCCACATTAACCAGTGGGGGAATGAGGAAACCCAATATCCCTTCTTCCATCACCTGCAAGAGAGCATAGTAAATGAGTAGTGATTGGATTAAAGTGTTTGCATGAAACTTGCATAAAGATAAAAGTTCACAATAATAAAAAAAGTTAATTAAAATGTATTGGGGATTTTTGTACATTTGAGGTAAATACATCACTTTTTGGAAAATATGACCCTCCGCTTCAATGCCTTGCAGTGCGTGGTATGTGGACGGCCGTGTGTTGGTGGTGATAGTTACCTTTGGGATCATTCTCCCTCTGTGTCTCCTAAAGAATTTAGGTAAGGAAAGAGCTTCCTGTTATCATTGTCTTGACAGTGCCCAATTGAACAGAAACTTTAAAAAAATGGACCCTGCTTTCACTTGTAGGGTCAGGATGAAGGGAATGATAAATGGTACATGTTAATCAGGCTCAACTTTATTATTTTTTAAATTTATTTATTTATTTATTTACATTGTTGTTCATTTTTGTACACTATTTGATTTCTCCCCTCAGTTGTAGCTCTCATAAAATTCTCACCATCACATCACCTGTGAAAAATATCAAACCTCTGTAACTATTTGGAAGATTAGTAAGTAGATCTTTTAGCTGCTTCACTTTCTGGTTCAGGGTCTGTGTCTGGGTCTTTCTGTGTCTACGCAGGTAGCTTTTCAGTTTAAGTAGAAAAGGGCTCATCCCCAGAGATGAAAACAGTACAGCCCCCAAAGGTCACTTGACTCTAACCTTCTGGAGTTCATGGCAGCTGGCGGTTGGAAACAGGAGAAATCCAAGGGGAGGAAGGTGAAGACCCCCAAATGTTCAGTGTATCCCTAGAAGTCATTTCACCTCTTCTGAGTCTTCTCTCTGGGGAGAGGAGTGTTAGAGCTGACATCCAGTACTTGGGCAATAAGGAGCTAAAGTGTCAGGCAGGAAGAAAGTGGATTTGCCTGTGCAAATACATAAACAACATGTACAAACCTATGACCAAAATTGGGAGGCTCTTTGCCCTTGAATTCTGTGCATCGGAATTCTTTTAGTGTGTCAGGGAGAACTAGAATCAAAACACATACTGTGTTTTCATGCAAAGTCACCATTGTTGCTAAATAAGGTAACACCATCAAATAATAAGTCTTGAGTTGACGTTGGCGTGTGTATGTGTGTATTACTGGAATCCCAAACAATGCCTGTAAAAAAGGCATTGGAAAAAACAAGATGATGGATGAAATAATAATAATATTTTTAAAAATCTTTTTTAGGCTATCTTGGCTATACTAGTGGATTTTCCTTGAGCTGTATGGTTTTTTTCCTAATAGTGGTAAGTGCTAATTGAAAAGTCTAGTTTGCTTTTGCCATACTCCAATGCCGTGTAATAATTATTCCTTATTTGTCTTTATTTGATAACGTCTATTGTTTCTTCTGTATTTTCATACCAGGTTATCTACAAGAAATTTCAAATTCCCTGCATTGTTCCAGAGCTAAATTCAACAACAAATGCTAATTCAACAATGTGTACGCCAAAATACGTTACCTTCAATTCAAAGGTAAATTCTCTTAGCCCTTAAAGACAAAAAAAGAACATTTTAAGAGCATTGTGTTTCTCATACTTGCTATAATTAATCTGTTTTTAAGTGTATTCACTCTTAAAAGAATGATACCACCAAAATCCATTCGTGTATTAAGAGATCTTTGAGGAATAAATGAATAACCTGTTATAGGTTCCCTTTTACTCACTTTACATGTAGGTCACCTTAAGCATTCTCAGTGAAAAGCTTTCTGATTAATCTCAGTCTTCTTTTCCTGTGTAAAAACCAACTACTAGCATCCTTAGCTTGTTCTTTCTGATCTGGTAGTGACAGAAAGAAATACCTCAAAGTTCCCCAGTTTGCACAGTGGAAATATTGATTGCACCAGAAAATGGCACTTAAGGATTTTCATATTGTTGAGATATTACTGATAATATGGAAACAGTCAGTGGTCAATTTGAATCCTCAGGCAAGCTTTTCAGCCATATGTGAAATGAGGATTCCGTTCTGTATCTTACAGCATTTTTTAGAATGTGCTTGGCGCAGTGCTTGGCAAAGTTACAGTGTGAAAAATGTTGCTTTTCCTTCCTCCCCTGCCTTTTTTTCTTTTTTTTTTTTTTTTTTTTTGCGTAAGAAGTTATGTTGAGTTTGAGAGTTTTTAAATGTCTTATCCAAGAAAATTAAATGGGTTTTTCTCTTTTTAATTCTAAGGCTGTAGTCAGTAGTGGAATGAGGAAGTAATTTTTTTTTTAGATGCTATATTTTAAAACGGACTTGAGGGGCCTCCCTGGTGGCATAGGGATTGTCTCAGCACTGTCACCACTACAGCCTGAGTTCGATCCCCAGCCAGGGAGCTGACCCACATAGGGCGCAGCAGACCTGATCTCTCCTGTTGCTCACCTGCTGCTCCCCTCAGCGGTGTATTTCAGTAGATCCACCTGTTCTGCTCCCCGACTCTGTCTCTTGTGAATCTTCTCACTTACCCCCATCTCTGGCCTATACCTCAGTAGTTTGATGCAAAATAAATTAATAAATCTGATTTGATGCAGATAAGTCTGATTTTATATGAATTTTTAAGTCCCATTTTAAGTTGATTTGATTCAAAAAGAGTCTGATATAGAGCAAAGGGCTGAAAATAGAAGTGGGGACCCAGTGAGATGTAGGGAAATTCCTGTGTTGCACACTGGTGCCACGTAAATGTGGGGAGAGGCTTTCCAGGGCCATGCAAAGTATGGGGCAGGTGAGCTGAATAGAACCACTCTGTGCCTGGTGCCTGCAGCCTCAGGCCACCTAAGCTCTCTGAAAAAATGCTTCTATTTTTAGGTAGCAAAGCCCTCCTAATAACAGAATAATCCAGGGATTCTGAAGCAACAGAAAGAATCTCTTGATTCAGATCAAGAGACAGCTTAGAAATACCGGGAGTGTATAACTGTTATGATACAATTGCCTTTTTCGTAATTTTTCTTTTTTTTTTTTTTTTTCAAATAGACCGTGTATGCATTACCAACGATTGCGTTTGCATTTGTCTGCCACCCGTCAGTCCTGCCAATTTACAGTGAGCTCAAAGAGTAAGAGATGTGCTGGATGTTTACGCTTTAGCCGTTTTATTAAAATAGGCAGAGTCATGCAGTGCACCCCTAAGTCCCGAGGGCTCATCACCCAGCTGCAGATTAATTATCTGACATTTAGGAGCAAATACTGTCATTAGGGAAAAAAAGAACAAGGAAAATCAGAAACCTTCAGTATTTTTTGGCCATAGATCTATAAAATGGCCAACTATGTAAAGTTTTTGTTAATTTGGTTTTCCAAATACTATGTTACTCAGAAAAGTTCAAGTATTTGTGTTGTTTTATGCTATTGATGCTTCTTTTGCAAGCACGTAATAATAATCTTCAGATTTACCTGTCTCTGATTTGCCTATTAGGTTCGATGGAAAAAGCTAATAAATCAGACAGAAAGACATCAGTGTTAAGACCACAAACCAGATAAAAGAATATGGTTCATTTTACACTAAGATGATGCTACTGATTTGTTTTTAATGTACTGTCTTGGTAAAAACTTAAGACCCACTTATAAATTTCCTCATGTGTTCTGTTTTTAGCCTCCTGTTAACAAACTTTCTCTATAAAAAATAGTTTTCCTGGCATAGTCTTAAGCTCAGAAAATACAGACAGTATAGCAAAGTATTTTCACCTTGAAACAAAAAGTTGTTATCATTTAGCATTACTTTCAGTCCTGATTCCTCTTCGTTCATAGATTTAATTGACACATGGCTAAATTCTGAAATAGCTGTCTACCTACCTATGCCTTTATCAGTCCTACTTTATCATCCTATATTTAGGGTGCTTAAAGATGTCTTGGACAGGGCCTCCCTGGTGGCCTAGGGGTTAAATCTCAGTGTTATCACGGCTAAGGCCTGAGTTGGACCCCCCGCCAGGGAGCTGACCCAAATGGCGCAGCAGACCTCTCTTGTCTCGCCTGCTGCTCCCCTCAGTGGATTTCAGTAAATACACCTGTTCTGCTCCCCACTTTGTCTCTGGTGAATCCTCTCACCCTCTGCACCTCTGGCCTACACCCTAGTTCCTCTCAGCAAAAAATAATTAAAAAAAAATCTTGATTATATTGAAAAGGTTTAAATACAATAGTCCACCTCTGAGTCTGTAGTTTTCTCCTGTATGTATGTCTTGATTTTTCTCATTTTCCTTACCACCTGTTATGGCCCAGCCAAATGTGATGACTACCTGTACAAGCCTGGTAAATTAATTCTTTGGACAGTGAAAGAAACTCTTATATTCATTCAAACTTAGAGCAAACTTGACCTGGATGTAGAATCCTTCATCCTTGAAGCTGTGGTCCTTGCTGCTGCTTACTGCTCTGGGGACATGCAGACTTCCCAGTGCCCTCCTGGGCTCCCCAATGGGGAAAGCAGAACCTGAGCAGCAGCTTAAGCCACAGAGGACCCCGAGGTCAAGCCCCAGCTTTGCCCCAAATAATATTGGTTGTGGGTTTGTCATATATGGCTTTTATCATGTTAAGGTATGTTCCTTCTATCCCAAGACTTCTGAGGGACTTCATCATAAACAGATGTTGAACTGTGTCAAATTCTTTCTCAGTATCTATTGATATGATCATATAGTTTTTCTTTTTCTTTTTTTGACGGGGACCATACCTGAGAGGAGAAAGCAAATATTGTACAAAAATGAACAATAATGTAAAATATGTATAAATAAATTAATTTTAAAAAAAAAAGAAGATTGAGGAAGACACACAGGGGTGTTTGATATTAAAGAAGTTATTCTAAACCGGCCTGATTTCAGCTGGTCAGTTCTGCTCTCTCCTGACAGAAGGGAAGTTGTTAATAGTCTTCAGTGTTAACAATGGCGCTTAAATTTAGGAAGGTGATTTTTAATTTTTTGTTTTGTTTTTTCTTTCCTTTGTTTTCAGTCGATCCCAAAAAAAAATGCAGATGGTTTCGAATATCTCCTTTTTTGCCATGTTTGTCATGTACTTCTTAACTGCCATTTTTGGCTACTTGACCTTCTATGGTAAGTAACTTCTGTCAGTACATAAATACAACTATTTGTAAATAAATGAATAAAAATCAATAACAAATTAACTTTGAATATGTTAGCCAAAAACCCAACAAATCTATCCAAGGATTTGCTTGGCTTTTCTTTTACTGAAAGCAAATGGTGATGGTTCCTTTACATAATCATGCAGGATCATAGGAAAATAATGACTAAAACAACATACTGTGATTTTTTTCCCCCTAATGGTGTTCTTATACATTGTATAAGCATGCCAGCTTTACAGAGGAAAGTGAAAAATGAAATCAGATAAGTCTTTCCTAATTGCTATTGCAAATTGGGTCAGATTCCATTAATAGAAAAGAGAGTCAGAGACAGATGTTGGAAGTGAGAAAGAGCAGCGTTATGCTCATGACAAGCCATGTTCATTAAAAATAAAATGCCTAGGGGCCTCCCCTGGTGGCATTGGCGGTTGAGCACAGTGCTGTGAAGCTGTCCACAGCCTCTGCCGCGCGGGTTCGATCCCAGCCCCAGCGGGCCGGCAAGAATCCCACATGGCGCAGCAGACCTCTCCTGTCTCACCCGCTGCTCCCCTCAGCAGTGTATTTCAGTCAGTCTGCCTATTCTTTTCCCCACTCTGTCTCTGGTGAATCCTCTCACCCTCCCGTGCATCTGGCCTGTACCCCAGTTCTTGTATGCATAAATAAATAAATCTTTAAAAAAATAAATAAAGGGCCTAATTGCTCACTGGAAGTTGGAGCCTTGCAGAGACATGAAGGAATGGCACACAAAGTTAAAAGAAATGGAAATCTGAAAAAGAGAACCACGTCTCATGTGTGATTTTTACTGCCTGGTATGAATAATTGACCTTTCCCATGTCTTCATCCTCTCCCATTCAAATGATCCCACAGGTTCAACATCTCTCATTATCATTGTAATTTGTAACTGAGTCTAAATACATACATTTCACGTTACTCTTTATTAAATAAGATTTCTTTGGGGCATTTTTTCATGAACATAAATGTCTCAAAAAACAAAATGTGCTGAACATTGTTGGATTATTAATTCCACCTTACAAAGGCTACCCTGGTGATAGTTATATTATTACCATTTTTATAAACAGTGGAGAATGACAGCTAATGAATCTATAAATCCATAACAAACCAGAAATATGGACCTCAGTTTGTAAACATTGGTTTTCAATACTGTGTATGATTCAGAGCATGTTTAATTTTTGCATAAAAATGGTATTTCTGCATTTTCCTGCTTAGTTGCAGGGCTGGGGATAGCTAAAGGGAGAGGAGAGAGAGAGAGAACTTAATATTAGTTGAATGATTTACTGTTACTTTTTTCAGGCTATGATTTTTCATTGCAAATCCATTCTTTTCCACATGTGATAGAACACAAAGCCCTCCTGGACTCTTAGGTTAAAGAAGAAGGCTCACCTACATTTCAGTGAATATGAATTTTGAATCAAAGAAATTAGAACGAATGAGGTTTTATTATAACCTTCAACTAAGGTGTGGGATAGACCTTAAACTTGAACTCAACACCCAGAACCTCGAGATGGTGCAATGAGAGCATTAGAAAGTAAACACAAAGAGAGAAATGATCTCTGGTCAAAACTGAGCTTGCTCTCCATCAGGATACTTTTCCACTTTCTAAGTCTTTGAAATAACACTTGCTGAGGTTAGGCGCTGAGAATCAGAGTGGCACACGAGCTAAATGCTTTTTTTAAGTAACAGAAACAGACTTGGAAGAGAAGTGTTATTTCCAGGAGGTGCTCACGTCCTGTTGGTGCCTGTGCTGCTGGCCATGGAAGTTGAGTTCCATGAGCTGACCTGGAAGGGGCTCCTGTCTGCCCAGCAAGGCATGGTGTTGGCTCTTGTTAGATGTGCAGACAGGACTGGGGGAGCATCTGGAGTAAAAGGGACTTTGTGCTTCAACGGTCAATTATTTTAATCCTGATCCATTTCTAGATTTAATTGAGTCCAATTTAACCGTCCCTGCTTCTGATGGCTTCTTCTAGAGCTTCCTGCAAGTTCCTTTCAGCCCAGGCTGCGCAGGTGGAGTGTGGCTCACACGGGGGACTTTTCTTTGCAACGTTCTAAAGCATTTTAATAGACCCTCCAACACCTAGAACCTTGCTTCTCTGGCCTGTAGCTCGCAGACTCTTTGTTGTTGAGAAAAGCTGGCGTTCAGTGATGTGTCTTGCTCTTTTTTTTTTTTTTTAACACCGTCTGATTCTGCCTTCATTTTAGAAAACGTGCAATCAGATCTCCTGCACAAGTACCAGAGCAAAGATGACATCCTCATTCTGACCGTGCGCCTGGCCGTCATCGTCGCCGTCATCCTCACAGTGCCCGTGTTGTTCTTCACGGTGCGTGAGGGCCCCGGTGCCACCTGAGAACAGCTCAGGGGATCACCTTTCCTTCTCCCTTCGGAGCTCGTTCCAGAGAAACCCTGCCCCGGGGACATTCCTGCTTCTTCGAAACCACATTAGGGATGGACCCCGAGACTCAGTTAAGGCTCTTTGGAAGAAAGTGAACTCAGAAAACAGAGGGACCTCTGATAGAATGAATCTTAATTCTTATTAATGGGTCCCTCTTCTTGAGACAGGTAGATAGAATATTCGACTCTCGGTCATACGTGATGGGAGAATATAGAAGGGTCAGAATAGAACACCCAGTCATAGATTAAAAGCAGAAATTCATCCCCTCACATGGAGAACTAGCCACAAATAAACACGTTCTCTATTTTAATTCAGGCCCCTTGCCTCACCCCCTACCTAAACTGCTATCAGTAAACTTGTTAGGTATTGCAAAACATTTGCAAATTTCATTTTTTTAGAAGAACTGGGGTGCAGGCCAGAGGTGCGGGTGGTGAGAGGATTCAACAGAGACAGAGTGGGGAGCAGAACAGGCGGATCTACTGAAATTCACTGCTGAGGGGAGCAGCAGGCGAGACAGGAGAGGTCTGCTGCGCTGTGTGGGTCAGCTCGCTGGCCGGTGATGGAACTCAGGCTGCAGTGGTGATAGCTCTGAGACTTAACCCCTGGGCCACCAGGGAGGCCCACATTTTGCAAATTTCCATGCACCAATAAATCAGTGTCTTTGCTGAGGAATGTGAGGTTGGCTTGCTTCCGACCCTTATTAAGTCTTTCCCTTCCTACAGGTTCGTTCATCTTTGTTTGAACTGGCTAAGAAAACAAAGTTTAATTTATGTCGCCACATCTTTGTTACCTTCATTCTCTTGGTTATTATCAACTTGCTGGTGATCTTCATCCCCTCCATGAAGGACATTTTTGGAGTCGTAGGTATGACTATGAATTTACACTTATTCCTCAACTGCTGTTTAGAAAGCTACAGTTTCACAACAGCACCCCCAAATATTTTTTCTTCTCATTTTTCAGGAGTTACGTCTGCTAATATGCTTATTTTCATTCTTCCGTCATCTCTGTATTTAAAAATCACAAACCAAGATGGAGATAAAGGAACTCAAAGAATTTGGGTATGTGTCTTGCCTGCTACTCTTATTTTTTTTAATAATTTTTAATTTATATTTATCAAATAGTCAATTTCTACTATCTAATACTACTTTTAGGTGTCTCGAAGAGATACCACAGTCCTGTGTTTTCCCATTTGTGAGATTTAAAATATATCAGAGTCTTCTCCGTTCTCTCAAAATATCTTTTCAGGTTTTACCCTTAACTTTTGCTCTTAGCAAGGGCAGGCCAGCAGGAGACTAGGTGTTTATCATCTTGTGTTTCTGTAGAGTGAGACCTTGTCTTTAGCACAAGACAGGTAGAGAAGGACCCAAAGATTTTATACAGTCCACTATATCTGCACAGTTCCCAGTCATACCTGCAATGGCTTCAAAAGGCTGAGTTACAGCGAAATAAGCCAAAAAGAAAAGGAAAAATACCGGATGTTCTCACTCATAGCAGGAATCTAGAAAACTTAAATAAGGGACCAGGAAAATGAATAACTATAAGAAAGTGAAAATCAGAATCAACAAAAAACTATGAACCAGAGACACTCTATGGGGGGTGGGGGGCGGGAGGGGAGGGATTGGGGTCAGAATGGGGGGGTTGCAATTGTATGGGGGAATATAAAAATAAAACTTATTATTAAAAAAATAAAAATAATAAAATAAAATATGAACAGTGGAAAAAAAAAAGGCTGAGTTAGAGGAAAGAGTTTCTATGATTCGAGAGAAATGCTTTGATTTGGGAGAAATGCTTTGGAGCCACAGACCTAGGTTCAAGAACTACCTTTCAATATTGGTATTCTTGTTTCCAGGTCTGGTGAAGCTCAGGGGTTGATTGGGTAGGCTTGGAGACAGCTAGGGAAACAGGGTTGAAGTGTCAGCCCCTGCCTCACACATCACCTGAGTGTTACCCGGGTGGGAGATGTAGGCAGGAGGGATCATCCCTGTCCATTCAGAGAAGCAGTGTTAAGGCTGATAGCACCTGCTTCTCAGTGGGATTAGCCCAATGTGATGAATCTCGTCTCATCCCAAGCCTTACTAGTAGGGCTTCCCTAGAGCAGAGAGGACGGGGGTGGGGCGGAGGACATTCTGGCGCAGCAAGAAAATATGCCAAGATTAAATCTGAAAATGGTGGCATTGCGTGCAATTCTCTGGTCCTGTCCAACCTGGCTCCCATAACAAAACTTGTAGCAGGATCTACAGGATGGCTTGAAATAGGGGCTCTTATCCACTTGGAAACCCGCCAGGAGTTTCTGGATTCATTACTGTAAACCCATGTGCCATCTTCTCAGTGGCACCTCCCACCGCCCTATCTCCTCCTGTCTTTTAACTCAATCTGCCCCTCAGGTTCCAGTGCAGCCCCCTGAGAGCTCTCCAGATGCTTCATCCTTCTCCCAGCGAAGCTCTGATCGAATGTCCTTGAGGCCAAGCAATCCATAATCATGTGCTTTCCAGAATCTGGATTTAATAACCTGCCCCTGTGGCCTTCATCTGTCCTTGAAGTAACTTAGTTTTTGATGTCTGTTTCCTGTCTCACTGGACCAAATCTACTTTGCTTTTCTCGACCTCTTGCTCACTTTTGCAAATGGAAGTGTTCGTTGCCAGTGATAGCCTGGGTTGGTCAGTAGAGAGGAAACAAAGCGACCTCTGTGTTTTCCAGTCTTAGGCTGGAAGAGGCTGCAGGGGGCTGCAGTGGTAGAGCAGATTCACCCCGGGGTGCAGTCAGCAATCAGGACGCAGAGGTGGGCCCTACAGGGCTCATTCTTACTTTCCCCCTCTTGCAGGATCAGATTCATGCAGTTTTGGAAAGATTCTGATAGCTCAGCTGCAATTCCAAGGACACAGAAGGAGGGGGGCCCTCTGTGTATTTCCCAGGTGCAGGTGGGAAAGGTTTATCTCACTGAAAGTCTGCCTCTCTATTCCTCCAGGCTGCCCTCTTCCTGGGCCTGGGGGTGTTGTTCTCACTGGTCAGCATCCCCTTGGTGATCTACGACTGGGCCTGCTCCTCCAGCAACGACTAAGGCCACTGAGACCAGCGAGAAGAGGTCCCAGCCCCAACTTGCTGCTCTGCCCTGTCACCACCCATCAGCACCCCTCCCTCATCAGTTCCTTTGCAAGTTTACAGAAGCAAACAGAAACTTACAAGGCACAAACGGAACAGCACTTGGGTAGCAAAACAGAGACCTGTTTCTATAATGGTTCGTGTCCCTCAAGCTCTGGGATCAGTGTAAGATGGTGGATTTTCATTTTCAAAGTTTACGTGATCATATCTCTCAGCACTTCTCACCATCAGTTACAGCTCACTCTTCCAACTGTGTTTTTTGTCACCTCACAGTCTCTTAGAACTTTGCAAACATGATCATCCATCATGTTGATTTATTAGATATTGGGTTCTGAAATCATTTTCCGACTGATGTTCAGCGCACAGTATCTGTACCTTTATAGAAAAGAATCTTGTATATATTTATTTTGCTTTACAGAAAAAATGGTTTCGTAAATAATTTGCATATTTTGGTTAACCTAGCACACAGGGATGATCATGCGAGGGTCACAGGGCATGCGCCGTTGTGGATCAGGGTGTGCCCAATATTTGAGGTGCCCTGGTCACCTGCAACGGGTCCCAGTAGCCCACAGCTTCTACATCTCACTCCATGCAGAGACAGGCCCTGGTGAGTGTTCTCAGCTGTGGATGGGGCTGATTGTACTTTGGTAAACATATTTAGTTACACACTTGGGTAATCGAGCAAATCAAGTTTTGTTCCCTCTTGGCAATTGATGTCAAAGTCTCATCAGAGGCCACGTCTCCTGGGCTGACCGTTGGCACCTTTGTTAATAAATTGAGAAGCAAGAGTGGTGCAAAAAGATTGTCCAAAATGCCTAAGAAAATATTCCTCTGGTACAATAGCCTTCCATCCCACACCAATGTTGTCGCAGGGGAAAACATTTTCCTATAATCGCAACAGCTTTGACTCATGTCTGCCCGTTTTTTTTGCACAGAGGACAATGAATATCTAACCAAGGGTGATCTAAGAAAAGTAATTCCTGTTTTATATTGGGTACTTTGGGGGGGGTCTTTAAAAGACTTGTTTTATATCTATAAATTTAGGTTATGACAAATATAAGATTTTTGTACCTTAAATAAGCCTCATTCCTATTCTTGTCCATTAACAATCCATCCAGAGTCCTGGGGGAAAAAGTGACAAAGAGCCCTCAGAGATAGTCTTTGAAAGGAACCTGGGAGAAATCATACCTTCCTTCCCCCAGGGGGGTCTTCGGTGCTGGTGCTGTTCTCTCATCTCACCCCTCACCAAGGAGCATTAACTGTACACGTGACCCACAAGACTTGCCTCGCACTCTAACCCAGTCCCTCTCATTAGGGAGACTGCAAACGAAGAGGGTGTGTGCAAAGGTAGCTTGGAGAGGAGGGGAGATAACAGAGACACCACATGGCCCAAGATGGCTCATCAGCTAGACTGGCTTTTCCATGGACTTGCTAAGAACGTGTGTGCTCTGTGAACCGGACTCTTGAAATAGGACTTGTGTTTTATCTGTATCCTGATTGAATTCAAACATAGAAGTTCATCGAGCACAGATTTCTTATCCAGAGATAAGTAGACTGTAACCACAGGCTCTTGGCAAGCTTTGGGTTCTGTTCCTCCTCCACATTAAACCCCGTAGGCCTCCTTGTTCCCCAGAAGTCACACAGAACTGTCTCTTCCCCTTTAGACACTAATGTACCACAGAAAAGGCAAACATCAGAGCACCTCTTTGTGACCCTCTTGGGAGCATAATGAAAGGCTAGTTCCTGCATTTCTTGGTAGGATCATCATAGCTTTTAATGGAATGTTCCAGAACTACATCCACCTGAGGTCAGAATGGAGGTGTTTAGGTGTGATACCTACCCAGGAAAATCCAGTCACCTCTGTTGTTTTCAGAAGGGGCTTCCATATTAGCTGAGCAGGAACAGAAACTGAGCCAGACCAGTTGGTTAGTTACTAGGAGCCTCATCTGTAGCACCACGTAATGAAATAGCCCGGTAGCGGATGGCCTTCCATTCAAAAACATACATGTTTTTCTGTTATCCTCATTGATTTATAGCAATCCACTTTACACTCACAGAGTCAATTTAGAAAATGACCATTAACTCTTGGAATGTGTAGCAATATTTTTGGATCTCTGGATTGTATGTAACAGTACAAGAAATCTTTATTATTATTTAAAGCATATTTATTAGAGGAGGCACATTGTTGTTGAAATCTGTGATACCACATTTTAAAAATCTTCCTTGTATGTTTAAGTTATTGTTGACCCAATGACTATAATAGACCTTGTTGTGATTTGTCAATATCACTGATTAATTAATTACATCCTTTGTGTGGGATTAGGTGTAAAGTGTACTGCGCTTAGTCTTCTTGTTCAGAATAGTGAACTGGTAGCCAAAAGTACATGTATCACAGATGTTAGGTAGAATTTAAACAACACAGTCAAGTGCTATAGAAATTTTCTGCGAAATTAGTAGACTCAAGACTATTAGACCTTAGCCATGGGAGTAGCACGTTTTCTTTTGGTAGCTAGGATCTGAGTTCTTGTGAACAGTGCCCATTTACTATTTTGGATTTAGAACTGTTCTCTAACTATTGTAACCCAGAGTACTATGATTCCCTAATTTACTTAGTATTACTTATTGGAAGTGGGGAGAGGAGAGTATGTACAGAAATCTAGTCTTTTTAAGCAGAGGTGTCCCTATGTATAAGCAGATGATATTTCAAAATTCCATCAGTTGGTTGGTTACAACCTACAATGTAACCTGCTAGACAGCAGGTTATACTTGGTGTGAGGCCCCCAGACCAGCTAGGTGTGATTATCAAGCCAATAGTTTGGCTGATGTACGATAATAAAACCAGAATGCTAAAAAACCTCAACACTAAAAATAATATTGTTTCGGGGGGGTGTGTTATTTGTTCAGAATTGCCAAGATTATCTCATTCCTGTAGCCCATGGAGTCTGGGCTGTCGACCTCAGCCACATACCACCCGCTGGATGCTGGGGGTAAGGGGGTACCCCAGTTAGTCACCTGCAGCAGGGGTGCCAGCACAGGTGAGGGAAAGTAAGTCCAGGGCCCCCAGAGCATCAGGAGGAGGGGGAACCCTCTTGAGGGATTAGCCCTGGTGACGTCCTCAGCCAGAAGTCTTGCTGTTTTCTGGAGGCCTCAGTCTTGGCCTGCCTGCTTCTATTTGTGGGGTCTTTTGCTCCCACAGTTCACCTCCTTCTCTTCCCCCTACAGGAAAGAACATGCTAGGTCGCTTCTCCCAGAAACCAGCACATAGCACTTTTGGGGTTAGTGCTAATAAGCGGGTTTAGCTGCTCAGCAATCAGATGGGGGTGTACATACAGCTCTCTGCCTATTTTCCTTTGCTATAATTGTAGGTCCTGTGGACAAAGGTGCTCATGGGTGCTGTTGCAGGGCTTAGAGTGGACAAAAGACTGTGGAAAGGTTCCTCAGGGTTTCAGAGAGACACCTCAGACAGTCACCCCAGAACTGCCTTCTTTCCGGAAATGGACAGGAACTGCTAAGCCAGTGCTTCCAGAAGTGTGGCCCCTGGCTTGGCAAAGCCAGTATCACATGGGAGCCAGTGGGAACGTGAATCCTCAGGCCCCAACCCCAGTGAAATCTGAAGCTCTTGGGGTTGGGGGCTTGGCAAATATTTTACAGGCCCTCTTGAAGCACCTCAAATGTGAGATCCTCTCCAAGCCAATTTGTCTCCCTTATTCTCCCCATTAGTCCTACTTCTGAGATAATTTTTGAGACTCATGAGTCAGGAAAAGGGGTGAGGAGTGAGGGAGGGGAGGACAGGGCCTTAGCAGCGGGGGTCTCAGCCCCCTCACCACTGGAAATGCCAGTGAAATTGATCATGAAGGAGGCCATGAAGGAGATCGTTTGTCATCTGGGGCTGAGGCTCAGTTAAGATTACATTTTTTGAAACTGTTTAAGGTGACAGATCCTGTCCTTCTAAAGTGAATTGTCCACTCCAAGGCCCACAGGGGATGAGGGGCTGCAGGGTGCTCTGAAGAGAGAAGGGTTCTATCAGCTTCAGCAGATCAGAAAACAGTGGGGCACGTCCCACTGCAGGTGGGGAGGAGGTTGGCGAGTGAGTCGCCCATTCAGATGGGTGACTTGATTGAAAATCAAATCAGATATTTAACTTTATGCCTTAGCACCAAAGCCATTAGTCTCCATCTGTTTATCAATGTAAATGGCTGAAAAAAGACATGAGCTCTAAGAATATAATTACTCCATTTCCAGTTCATGGTGAACTTCTAGACACTTTCAAAATAAAGAAAACACAGACTCTATAGCATTGCTAATAGGCGGTGTCCTTAGGGATGGAAGATCTGGGAATCCTTCAGCAATAGAACATACTTCCTCTGAATTTATAAATAATTCACATGGTGAATTATTTATAAAGATTATGGCTTTCCGGGACCATTTGGGTTGGAGTAGCTAACAACTGAAAAATATCACTAATTCCAAAAAGAGAAGTTCTTGAAAAACATGGAATCCACACGGCTCAGACATTCCCCTTCTTTAGAGCTTTCTCAAAAAGGGGTTATGAAACTGGGCCATCTGTATATGGGCTTGATTCTGTGTTTCTAAAAGGAAGAATCTATGCAGTTGAGGCTTATTGTAGGAAATACGTCACTTGTATGTAAATATACTGTAAATAAATAGGAGGCTGTATATTTTTGCAGTTGTTAATCCACACTGAAATAGAAATCTCTAATATCTGCCTATCAAGATTAATTGTTTTCATAGGTATCCGTGGTTTTGTTCCAGAAATAGAAAAACTTACGTTCTCTCCCAGGTAACCTAGTTCCTCTCCAAGTGAACTTGGAGCCTAAAAATCTTAGCTTATTGTTTAGAAAGCGAACTGTCTGAGAAATAGTTGTGTTGATTTCTTAGACTGGTGTTAAGATCAATTATTTAAAAACTAGTCCTCTGACAAATAAAGAATATTTAGACCCAAATTATTGTCATATAGAAATAGGTGTACCCAAAATGGAAAATGGTTTCTTCTTCATCATGCGTTCTTACTGTTAACACCGATACCACTACATAGTATTTATGAAAACAGAGGTTGGGAAGGAAAAAAATTTTTTTTCAGAATCGAACTGCTGCATTTCCCAAATTTTGGGGTCTTTGAAAGGGGAAAGTGGGGGAACCTGAATATTAACTATAAGCACAAATTTGAAGGAAAAAGAGCAATCATATTATTAAGATTTTGAAAGTCTTGCATGTTTGCCTTTTACTTTCAGTGTTGACGCCAACAAGACTGTCTGGAATAATTTTTTCCCAAAACACTTGAATCTTGATCATTGGTATGAATCCACTCTCTAGAGGCCATGTATTTTAGACTTCATCTGAGTCCAGTACGTGTAGCTCATCACTGTTTTATTCATGTAAGAACCTTATAAAAGACTTTCAGATGGGTGATTTAAATAAGTCACAAACCTTGCTATTCACAGTTAATCAAATAGTTTTTTTTCCCACCATGTGTAAAATAAATGTAAGAATTTCTGTTCTATTAACTGCTCTGTTAACATAGTTTTTAAACATTAAAAATATGAACTAAAAATGTTTATGAATCTTGCAGTCATTCTTTTATAAAAATGGGGGACTTCTAAACACTGTACATACTCTTCGGGATGGTTGGAGACAGGTTTGTACAATTTCTCAATGTTCTAGAACATGTGAAGGTCATAGAAGCCTATATTTAAACACCCAAACTTTAAAAACTACTTAGGATAGAAATTGACCTTGTCTGGGGGGAGTCTCAGCTCTATCACCTCTAAGGCCTGAGTTTGATCTCTGGCCAAGTTGCTGACCCACATGGCACAGCAGATCTCTAGTATCACTGCCTTCTCCTGTTGGCAGTGGATTTCAGTAGATCTGCCTGTTCTGCACCCCACTCTGTCTCTGGGGAATTCTCTCCCCCACCTCCGCCCCGCACCTCTGTCTTACACTACAGTTCTTCTACGCAAAAAAAAAAAAAAAATTTAATTTAAATGTTTTTTTTTTTTTTTTAAGATTTATTTATTTATTTTATACAAGCATTGGGTATAGTCAGAAGCGCGGGAGGGTGAGAGAATTCACCAGAGCCAGAGCAGGGAGCAGAGCAGGCAGAAGGACCGAAGTACACTGCTGAGGGGAGCAGCGGGCGGCAGGAGAGGTGTGCGCACCACGTGGGACCCTCCTCTGGTGGCCGGGGAGCAGCCAGGGATTGAACCGGCGCTGCAGAGGCTGCAGGCAGCTTCACAACCCAGCGCTCAACCGCTGCGCCACCCGGGAGGCCCTAATTTAAATGTTTTAAAAAAAGAAAAGAAATCAATCTTGTCTGGGCATGCTAGCTATGTCTGTAAATCCTTGTAATCAGATTAAGTCTAGCATACTATTTTCTTTCTAAACTCTGGTTCATTCTTAAGAGTATTAGTTATATGATATGTTGTAGGAAGGACCCCACATTGTAGCCACCCACAAAATAGGAAATTCTATCATTATGTCTATGTCTCCAGAGGTGATTTGGGGGAAAGTATCTAAGCCTGGCCTTTGTCTGTCACTGCCACCTCCCCAAGATCTTAGCAAAACATTATCTGGCCAGCAAGAAAGCCAGATATTCAAATCCTATTGTGGACATGAGTGGTGCATGAACCACCTGCGCTTTCATGGGGTGACCAGGTATGTGGCTCACCTTGATTCTGCCTGAGCTGCTGGATGACAGCTCATTCTGGAGAGGGCCACACGAGTGCACCTGTGGATCTCCAGGTGGAAACTGAGTGTGGGAAAGCAGACTTTTTATCCTTACATGCCTACTGCATCTATTTCTTAATAGATCAAAGCCCCAGGGCCAAAGGATGATCACTTTCTAAGCAGTTGGAAAAACTCGTATATGTAAAGTTCCTCTTTTGAGAATGAGCCTGTTTCGTCCCAATCAAAAGTCCAGTCCCAGAGTGGTTTGATAGTTCTGGATTCTTCTACTGTCACTCTTCAGTGTCTGCTCAGATTGACTTTTTCTACCCTGTTTTATTTTATTTTTTATTTATATATATTTTACATCATTGTTCACTTATGTATAATGTTTGATTTGTCCCCCCCAGCTGTAGTCTCCATAAAATTCCCACCAGCAAGTCACCCTTGAGCTGTCACCATAGTGTCTTATGCTTTTCCTTCCCGTTTTGATTCTACTCCCTCCCCTTCCCCTGCTGTATGTCTCTGATTTATAGTTTGCCTGGTATTTTTGTCTTTTTTCCCCCCTGATCCCTTGTGTGGTTTCCATATATTCTTCCTATAAGCAAAACCAGCCAATATTTTTCTTTTTCCTTCTTTCACTGAGCATAATTCCTTCCAGCACCATCCATGTTGCTGTGAATGGCATGAGTTTGTCTTTTTGATTGCTGAGTAGTATTCCATTGTGTATATAGACCACATCTTCTTGATCCAGTCATCTGTTCTGGGGCACTTCGTTTGTTTCCATATCTTAGCTAGTGTAAATAGTGCTTTTCTGCCCTGCTTTACATGTGAAAGTCTGGGAGAGGGTTATTCTCCCCCTCCCCCATAGGATAAACTATAAGCTTAGTGGTAAATACAATTCAGAGAATCTGTTCATTGACCTTCTAGATTCGTAGTTGTGTTTTGCCTGGTTAAGGGTGGGGTTGGTTATGGGTGGGGTTGGGTGGGGTTATGCCTGGTTATGGGTGGGGTTGATGTGGCCAAAATAACTGGGTCATTTTTTTCTACACCAATTTTTTTATCTTTCATCAGTTTAAATTTTATTTGTTTAAAAGATTTATTTATTTATGTATACAAAAACGGGGGTACAGGCCAGAGGTGTTGGCGGGGGTTGAGAGGATTTGCCAGAGACAGAATGGGGAGCAGAACAAGGCAGATTGACTGAAATACACTGCTGAGGGGAGCAGAGTGAGACAGGTGAGGTCTGCTGTGCCATGTGGCTCCCTGGCTGGGCATCAAACTTGTGCTGCAGTGGATGCAGCTAGCTTCATATGTTGTGTTTGAACCCCTTGCACCACCAGGCAGCCTCATCAGTTTAAATTTTAGAATAATCTATATTGGCAGGACAATCTTCAGTAGGGCCAGTACAACATCAAAATAACCATCAAGTTATCAAAATGTATTATAAAACTATAACACTTAAAACAGATTTGCACTGATGTGGAAGTAAATAAAAATCAGTAAATAAATTAACTGTAATAGACAACAACATAAATGGCCAAAAAATTTTTTTAAAAAGTGGACTTTCACATCAATGGGGAAATAAGGGTTACTCAATAAATAATGGAAGAATTACTAGCTTTTTCAAGAAAATAAAGCCAGGCCCCTATATATTACCCCTATATCTAAAGAACTTGAGGAGCCTCCCTGGTGGCGCAAGGGGTTAAGCACTGCACTATGAAGCAATCCACAGCCTCAGCAGCAAGAGCTCAATCCCTGGCCGGCCAGGGAGCTACCCACATGGTGCAGCAGACCTCTCCTGTCTCGCCCACTGCTCCTCTCAGCAGTGTATTTCAGTCAGTCTGCCTGTACTGTTCCCCACTCTGTCTGTGGTGAATCTTCTCACCTGCCCCCACCCTGCATCTCTGGCCTTTACCCCAGCTCTTGTATGCATAAATAAATAAAATCTTTAAAAAACAAAAAATAAAGAACTTGAACATGTTAAAGACCTTAAACACGTCACATAGGTACATAAATTTTTTTCAGGTTTAAAACTGAGTCACAAAGCAATCATATCAAAAATGTATTTAGTTTATTACTAAAGGAGCAAGTAATATGTTTTTAAAATTAGTTCAAAGAAAACTTCAAGGAATAGATCCATATCTCAGCAATCAGGAATGCTGAAGTAAATTTGTTAATAGATGCAAAACTGGGCCTCCCTGGTGGCGCAGGCAGTTCAGAGCAGTGCTGTGAATCTATCTGCAGCCTCTGCAGTGCAGGTTCAATCCCAGCTGGCTGGTGAGATACCCATATGGCGCAGCAGACCTTTCCTGTCTCGCCCACTGCTCCCCTCAGCAGTGTATTTCAGTCAGTCTGCTGTTCTGTTCCCCGCTCTGTCTCTGATGAATCCTCTCACCCTCCCGCATGTCTGGCCCGTACCCCAGTTCTTGCATAAATAAATAAATCTTTTTTAAAAAAAGATGCAAAACTGGCGCCTTAGGAGGAAATCAATCACATCACTACCAGAAGCATTCATTTGCTTCATTGGACAATAACCATTTCTCCATTGGTTCCTACAGTTTGTAGGGTTATAAAATATCTCAAGAACCAGAAAACGGTGACATTTCTATAAAATCAGATAACCCAGAAAGGAAATCTTGTATTCCATTGAAAGTACATTCAGTATTTTTTTTTTTTCCCCTCTCGGTCTTTCCAATTTTTCTAACTACTTTTGAGACCATAAAAATGTCAAAGATTACTCATGGTCATAGAAAAAGACTAGACTCATCCAGTTTGCTGAAGTATAACAAGAGTGTTAACCCTGTAGGATTATCCAAGGTAAGATTCCTTGTATTAGCTTTGCTAATCTAGAGCCATAGGGGGCCTCCTCTGGTGGCACAGGCAGTTGAGCACAGTGCTATGAAGCTGTCCGCAGCCTCTGCAGCACTGGTTTGATCTCAGCTGGCTGGCGAGGGTCCCACATGGCGCGGCAGACCTCTCCTGTCTCACCCGCTGCTCCCCTCAGCAGTGTATTTCGTCAGTCTGCCTGTTCTGTTCCTTGCTCTGTCTCTGGTGAATCTTCTCACCTTCCCATCCATCTGGCCTGTACCCCAGTTCTTATATGAATAAATAAATCTTTAAAAAAAAAAGTTGAATAATCTAGAGCCATGGGTATTGAATTGGAGCAACAGAATTTTATTTTTGAAGGTCTCTATTCTTTGCTAGCTCAAGGCTGGGAAAGCAAGCTGAGAAACTCTGTATATTTCACCAGCACTATTAATTTTGGTAAATTCTACTTTACTGGAGTTTCCCAGATTTTGCTAAATTTACCAACAAGAAATGTCTTTTCTTACCACCTATAAGGATGGTACTGAATGAGGAAGTTAGGAAATGACAGGTAATTTACCAGGAGCAGGGGACCCCCAGCCCATTCATCAGTGTGAATAAAGAACAGTTGGTTGGAACCAGGAGGGTGCCCTCAAGTCCAGGCACCCCAAGCCCATTCCTCAAACTGAATGAGGAACAACAAGTTGGAGTCAGGGTACCCCCAACCCAGTAAAAATCGAATGTTTGCAAAGATTTTTTCCCCGTTTTTCACCGAACACCAACACGATAACACAATACCAAAGCATTGGACCAAAGCTCCTTTCCGGAAAGTAGGCCAAGTAACCTGGGAGATCCAGCAGGCCTCAGTAATCTGGGGGACCCCACCTACCCCAACCAATCAGCAAGAAGCACAATGCCGAGACCTCCAACAGTTGAATCCCCACTCCTTACCCATTATAGTTGCTTCTCACTCCCTCAGTGGCTACTCACTCAGAACCCCTCTCCTCTTGGAGAGATTTCCTGTCCTTCCTCTTACCTATCAATAAAACTCTTGCTTTTCTGTGACTGTGGTCTCA